CTAGAGATACCTGGATGAAATTCTTTCAACATCCTTTCCAAAGAGATGCAGGCATTATGACTCTTTTACCATTTAAGACCTCATCACAGATTGAGAAAATATTGTCATCATCAGTTTTTGATTTAATTTTTTTCTCCTTCGATTTCCACCTTACTTGCTTCTTTTTCCTCTAATAAAAGTATTCACCTGAACTTTTATTTTAATTTCATCCAGTATTACTGGTAGACCACATACAGTATTGCAGAGAATGTTCTTAATTTCATTCTCAGATCTTAGTGCTGCAATTACCATGAAGATCCACATAGTTTAGGTATGAGACTTGACAAACCACCTACTTGATTTAATTTTTTTGATGGCAGGAATTCCATCTGTGAAATCTTTTCACAGCAAAAATTATTCCCAATCCTCTTTCTCTATCTGGCTATAATTATTCTCAGACGATAAAAGTGTTCTTGACATATGTGCTATCGCTTTTACAGAACCATCTTTGTGCTTCTGCAACATTACAGTATAGATGCCATATTTACTAGCATCACTTGCCATGATTCTAATTTTGGATCAAAATGGGACAGAAACAAGTCCGACATTAGAATCTTTAATTTTTTCAAATGCTTTTTGGCATTTGGCCGCCCAATTCTACTTGGAGTTTGTTTTAATAAATTATTTAATGACGCTTACAAAAATGCATGTTCAGAATAAAAACATAATTTACGAAACCTAAAAATTATTGTAAAAATGACATATTTGTTGAGGAGGGCATATTTTTAATCGCACTTGCTCTGGTTGTGTCTGTTTCCTATCGATTTTTGATTTGGCCCAAATATTTAATTTCCGTAATAAAATATTCTCACTTTTCATCAATCAGTTTAAATCCGTATTCATTTGTTTTTCTCAATACCTTAATTACGAGCTGAATATGTTGCTCTGGAGTGTCACTTTTTATCAAAATGTATTCTAAGTAGGCAATCGCAAAATTTAGATAGCTCAATATTGTATCAATTATTTGCTGAAAAATTCCAAGCGCTACCTTAATTTCAAAACTGAATCTGTTAAACTTGTCTAATCCCTTGTCTCCACGCGTGAGTTCGACTCTCATTCTCACTGCCAACTGTTGTGTTGGGAGGTCTGACAAGACACAACATTTCACTCGACAGAGTCAGTCGTCATAGTAGTATTCAGCACGAGACAAGTCACTGCAATAGGATTATCTTATTTTCCTTTTTAGACAATAACCAGGACTACTTATCATGAATGGGTCAGTCCATTCATGATAGCCAGGAGGGTAACTAACTCTTACCACAAGATAAATAAATTCATTGAGTAATATATAAGCATATAGTCGAATCTTATTCAGCACTTAACGCTAAAGAATTGCGATACAGTTGTTATTTTTGTAAAAAAAGGATGATAATTGAGAATTGCCAAGTCTTTATTTAATCCTAAATTAAGTTTGATAATGAAATTTCTTCCAGCTTTTCTGTGGCTGTTCTGAGAATTAAAGGAAGATGCTAGAAGGATTCGTCTAACATTGTCTAAGCTGAAATGTTGAAATGTTGTGCTATAGTAATTAGCGTTTTCTCTAATTGTCTTTTTGTGATTGTTGAATCGGTAAGAAAATTCAGAGCCCGTCTCATTAATATAATTACATTGGTCACAGACATTGCAGTCAGTCAGACTCTATTCGAGCTGTCGAAAGTAAGTTGAAGGATGTATTTAAACTTCTCTACCTAGATGAATGTAAGTTGTTTCGATGAAAAACTGCTTACGGATTTGGCATCATGTTTTATGTTTTGTATAATTGCTTCAGAGAGCGTATTCCCGTCTCAGTTTGGAAGATGAGAGTAATGAATTAGGTGGTGTTGTATATATATATATATATATATATATATATATATATATATATATATATATATATAAATGCATAAAAGATATCGCACATTGAGTGCTGGGATTAATAAAATAGTAATCGACGAAATATAACACAGCTATTAAGAATATATTAACATATATTAACAAATATACATATTGTCCCTCACCAATAGCATTACTTGGAGTTTTATGCACAGGTGCTGAGTATAGACTGACCTTTAGATAATCTATGTAATCTCTACTCAGCACCTGAAAGTTGCCATATTGATACATATTCATTTATTCCGATAAAACAAGACCCTGAAGATGATATTTTGCGAATGTCGAAAGTACTCGGAATAAATGAATATGCTTCAATAGGTGACTTTCTTTCTTCCTTTAGTAAGGGTATTAAGAAGCTAGTCCGTAAATATGAGAGGCTCATATTAAAAATAAGTTGAAAAAACTTGTCTAAATTATTTAATGAGACATGCCTTAATGAAAAATAATGCTAATATATATATATATATATATATATATATATATATATATATATATAAACAGTTCTTTTCCGGTCAAATTTAGATTTATCTGGGAAACGGTTATATAAAATGTAAAATGTAAAAAATAAAAACTGAATATGCAGAGCTATTAAATATCAAAGTCAAGGAATCCTAACCACTCTTGTTACAATGGTTTCTCTTGGCAAGGTTTCTTCAGGCTGTGGAGGTTAATAGTGATTCCCAAAAACTTTGTTTATTTTTTTAACATTCTCAACGGGGATTACAGTTGAAGGGGAAGAGTATAGCAAGATTAGTTGGAAGATAAGCGAAAGACAATTAATACTAATAAAATTTATATTAAAATATTATATTAAAAATATATATTTAAAATGATATTAAAAAAAGAATATTAAATATTAGGAGGGAAAATTAATATTGATAATAATTAATATGTTTGAAGTACGGGTGTCCCCAAGACGTAAGAGTAATTGTGCAGATTATGAAGAAAAGTAGGATAGGAAGCGGTTGACCATAGACTTGAAGAGGTTAATGATCGGTAAAGCATCCTTTCGGGATTCTGTTCCATAAAGTAGCTGCTCTTAGGAAGAATCCGTCCGAATAGAAATTATTTCTTACCAAGGGAATATGAGGGAAATTCTTTCTTACTAAGGGAGGATTCGCCTCTGCTTACGCGGCAGAGTGAATCTTCTCTTACGAAAATTGTAACTCCGAACATGAAAAATAGCTGAATTTCATTTTGCCGAATACTTCAGAAAAAGTGTCATTTAACGGAACAATGTCAATATTATCAAGAATTTTTGAGCGAAAAGAATTCACTTTTTTATAAACGTTAGCAGTGCATGAACCTTACTAAAGACGAAAGTGAAGATTTTGTCGCATATGCTAGTAAAGTCAACCGTGAGAAATTTAAACTGTACGAACTATTCCCAGACAGATTTAAATGTCTAATCTTCGTTAAAGGTCTTAACATTAAGCAACGATGCAGAGATACGCTCTCAAAATTGAACAGGATTCAAAGTTAATGATACAGACTGTTGTGGAAGAGTGTCAAAAAATTAGTAAAGGTACAATATAGCGAAAATCAAACAAAATGGTACGTCAGAAGTACAAGTACTTCGAAAAAAGACAGCAGTACCAAATTGAAATAAAAGCACTGCCAAACGTAACCGATGGTATGGCTGTGGTATGTTTCATTTCAGAAAGGACTACCTATTTAAAACCGGAGTGCGGCTTTTAAGCTAATAAATAAATAAATGGTAGATAGTTGAAAACAATTATCTCGGGTATCAGAATAAATCAGGCTTGTGTAATTCGATAGAGTCAGTGAACGGGTTTGACGTAAGTCATTGCGATACGAAATGCCAGTCATTATAAAAAAGGGAATGAAGAAAACGGGAATGAGTACCTTTTATTTCGACTGAACATAACGAATCTACATAAAAAATTAACAATTAAGGAAAAATGAAAGAGATTTCCTTACCATTTTCATAGTGAGGATTATTGCTTCATACTAAACTAACCAGGCAAACCTGGAACTGCTCAGAATGGGCGAGTAAAACAAAAAATAGAATCTCCTGAGCCGAGAAATGTATACAATATGGGAACCAGTAATAAAGAGTGACAGGGAAAAAGCGATAATAACAACAAAAATTGCAATATGATCTCTGGTAAAAAATGCAATGATAACAGCAAAAATTGCAATATGAGCACTAGTAAAAATGATTGCTGAAGACATTAGGTTTATAATACCAAGAAATTCATACACAGATGCCACAGTGGATAAAGGCGTTAGTTAGATCCAGTGACAGGACCTAAAGAGTGAAAGTTCAATACCCGGTTAAGGCAGTGGAGAACTTTCAGAGGGAAAATTAATAGGAGATAACTGATAACTGACATCCATTAGACGTGGCACGTGGAACTAGAACAGTCTACCCCAGTGAGAGAAATAAAGGGTTCAGTTCGACATTTCAACCACCTGAAGAAGGCCGGAGCGTACAATGGCCGAAACGTTGTAATAAATATGGTGACAAAGATGAGGACAATAGTCCGAATAATGTAAATAATGGAAAAAATAGAGGCTTCTATCTCACTCATTTTCTTCTTCGGTGAAAAGATACCTAATTCGAATTTCAGCATAAGAGGCTGAATCAACTTTAGTATATTGGTCCCAAGAAAGTCGTGGAAACGAACTCGGCCCATGTCCGAATAACAACGGCCAGCAAGCACACTTTGGAATCAATAGGGAGATCATCAGACGTAGAAAGAAATAGTAGAACCACCGACCTACTGTCAAATACCCAAACGTGAAAAGTTCTCGTCTCGAATGATTTCCCAAGTTTTAAATAAATGAACGACAATTAGATAAAAAAAAACAAACACTTTCTCTACGAGCGGGTATGAAAAATCGGAGAGCCAAGTTCGAATACCAGTCGAGTTCGTTTCATTTACTTACCGTTGGGAAAAATATTCATCCATTTCCTTTCACCAGTTAGGATTAAATAGGAAAAGTTTTATATTATATTCTCAAAAATTGTTAGTCGCAAAAACAGAATTATTCTTAAAATCGTATGTTTTGGAGTTTAAATTAACCACAAATGGGTTACTAAGCAGTAAAAACAAATAAATCAGTCCTTCTTTGTCATTCATCCATCCATCCATCTATCTATCTATCTATCTATCTATCTATCTATCTATCTATCTATCTCCAATATCAACTACTTATTTGCGTAAACAACTGTTATATGTTTCGTGTGAAAATGATTAGCCTTTTATCCGATTTCATACAGTTGCAATTAAGAAAAAACTGAAATTAAGATTGTCAAAGAAAAAAAAAAGGCTGTTCCAAAATGGTGATGTTATTAAGTAGACTTGCATTCTGCAACGAAACTAAACACCGGTGATAAAATTAAATTACCGGAAACAATTTCAATATCTATTTCTCGTTTTGATTGCAAAAAAAGCAAGAAAATGCAAAAGAAGTAAAAAAAAAAAAAAAGAAAAAAGAATCAATAAAGAATTGAAAGAGATGATTTTTTTTTTCGTAATGAAAATCCAGATTTCGTATCAAATCGATGAACACCTACACAGACGAAGCATTCTAATTAGTTCTTTTATCAGGAAACTAAAATATAACAAAACCTCTCAGGAGGGGGGGGGAGTTATAAGTTTAGAATCAATCAAGATAAACAAAATGTAACACCAAAGCGTAATCCAGACGGCGTCAAATATCAGCGAAATGATGACGTCAGATATTAAAGTGATGTGAAAAAAAAAAAACTTTTAAAATTAAATAAAAAACAACGAGTCAAAGACTACAAAAAAAAACAACAAAAAACGAAGCAATTTAGCGAAAAGATAAAGATGTGTTTCGCTTTGAACACAGATTTTGATTATAGTCACGGAATTATTTCAAAAATTGCTGATGCAGCTTAGTGTCATTTGTGCATGCCAACATGACGCATTTATAATTTACAGACGTTAGTTCGAGAGAGCTTGGCCGAAAACTCTTGACCAATAATAGAAAAATGTCTGTATATAGAAAACTTTAAAACTTAATGATAAAAAAGAAGCAAGTTATCTATTGGATATTTTATAGCAATATTTAGGATGATGCAAGGGAAAAGATTTTGTTTTTGTCAGCACCAAATAGAGTTACTTACTGTAATATATGCACACAAACGCACGTGCACGCACACATACACACACACGTGCGCACTCACTCACACACACGCACATACACACATGCACAGGAACACAGATGTAGGTAGTAATCATATATATAAAAACTGTCTCACCCGGATGTGATACAAGGTGGAGTTTGAAAGTAGTTTTAATGGCAATAACGCGCCAAAATTACCAGCCCTCCTCGGCACTTCCCCTTTTGGGGACGCCACAGGCCCTGGGTAATAAACCCAGCCCCACCTCGTTCACATAAACGCCACACAGTTAAAATAAAGGCCATCAGGGAAAGAAACATGATTTTGTTCAACCGTACAAAAAACCGTAAAATCAAAAATAATCATTAAACACAAGCACAAACACATCTCATCATCACAAAATATTCAACAGAAACACAATAAAAATCAGCTACAATTACATGACACAAATAATAAAAAACCCAACAGAAAAATAACCAACAAACGATCGTCGCAAATCAACCCACTAACTGCAGAGCAAAGAACTATTGTCCCTTAAATGGCAATTACTTGCAAAACAATATAATATACCAACCTACTGTAGAGAATAAAAAACGAAAACTAAATAATAAAATCTGAAAAATGAACAAAAATCTAAATAAACACATTAAGTAAATAATAAACGAATAAACAAACAACGAATGCACACATAAGCACAAGTAAGTGTAATAATAATAAACACAACAAATAATTAAGTAATCAATAATAAGAAATGAGTAAAAAGTTAATAAACACAACACACATGACCTGAAGATTGACTACCGCCGCATGATGTTGGCCACAGTGTCCACTTTCATACTTCATTTTACATATAACCCTGACATTTACCACTTTTACCCATAAATATAGCATTTCTTAAAACTATATTCTAACTAATAATTAGCAAGTTTCATAGCTTTGTTGGTTTAATCAACTCCTTCTACGCTATGATTTAACCCATTAGTGGATGGCGTCTAACTGTTTTACCAAAAACAGTTCAGGGAAAAAGAACTAAAATTTTAAGGAAACTTTAAGCAGTAATTAGTTATTTTCGTTATAATTATTATTAATATAAAACGCTTGAAGAAGAGAAAGTCCCTCTAGCCGGAAGGGTGCTGGTAAATTACTTGTCAAAAAGGCACACTATTTTTCAGTGATTTTTCAGCGATGTTTCAAAATCCAGTGGCTGGCCCCAAACGTTTAAGCTATATAGTATATATATATATATATATATATATATATATATATATATATATATATATATATATATATATATATCCAGGTAAGATGAGAACGAATAGAGTACAATTCTAACGTTCGTAGCATTTAATTTAAAAGAGGACTCAATAAAAAGTAGAGCAATATTCTTTATTTTAGGACATTACATCGAAAGCAAAATCGCTACATAATTGCAGTCGTGTTTCGATGCGTATAAACGCATCTCATCAGGCGATTGTAAATTCGAGTTATTTAAAATCGTTTGATGAAATGAGTTCATACTCATCGAAACACGACTACAATTGTGTAGTGATTTTAACGTTTTCGATGTAATATCCTAAAATAAAAAAAAATATATATATATATATATATATATATATATATATATATATATATTAAATGAATCATTCCTACAAAAAACAGATATAGAAGTTAATGATATAAATGGCAAGAATACATCTTCGCAAGCAATTTACATTAACCCCGAACCTGTAGATGAATGTTATGATCCCTGTTTATAAATTCCAGTTGCATAAGGTCTTTTTTAATTTTTTTACAAGCTTTCATCTGTGCATACAGACATCATCAGGTATGGAAATAGATTTGTTTTTACTTCTCGGTAATAACAGGGCAACAAAAATATAGATGTAATCCGAAATATGTTTTTAGAAATGTGTTATTGTTAATTGTAAGAAATTTTTTTGAGCATGCAGTTGCAACGCTGACGTTGAATTTTTAAATTTTAATACTGTGCATTTTTGTACCAATATGGTAATAGGAGAATTCTTTTGTACTGGTAGGTTTTTTAGTCAATGTAGCATGAACTAAATTGTTCAATAAATAGAGGAATGTCACAGTTATTATCCGAAAGTTGCACGTCGGATCAGTTATTATAATATCAAGTATGTGGTGCAGTTCAATTTACATTACATAAATCATTCATACAAAAAAAATCACACACATGCACTCTATATATGTTTGTTTTCGCATTTCTTCTTGAATATACCAGGAATGATTTTAGTTCATGTTTGCTGATATTTGAAAGGAATCGGTTCAAAAGACTCATTTTTTTCGCATAAATATTACAGTATTTCCTCGATCAGTGTCCGTTGCGATTTCCATTGGAAACTAATTGCAGTCGACAGTTGTTGGTATTGGAGATGTGACTAAGCGAAGAATAAATAAAACCTCATCTTCCATTTTCTGGCAGGCAATGATCCTGACCGGAATAAAGATATTCTGTTCCAGAAGAGGTAAAAGAGGGAATCAAAATCCATCAACTAAGTCATAAAACAACATTTCTGGCTTTGCTTTTGGTAATATACAAAATACATCATGGTTAATGAGATAATAATTATTGATGCGTCTCCAGCAGAAGAATATACAATGCTCTTTACTTCACACATCCATGTGCATTGCATATAAATATATATGGATGCAAAATCACATACACACACATACATACATATATACGTAATTGTGTATTTAGGCAGCAATCCTTCATTTATGCATGCTTTATTAAAAACGACATACAGGTTACTACGGTTAAGCCTTTTATTTAATTTTTCTTGTGTCCGCACAAAAGCTTTCTTTTTTGGACACAGAGTGTGTAAGAAACTGTTCAAATGTTCTTTAGTTCCGAACACTTTCGGCTATACTTTTAGCCATTATCTATGATCTGGAATTGGAATAAAAGCAGTGATGGCACCTACCCTGAATCCATTAAAAAAAAAAACAACTCAGGATGTGGATTTAGTCAATACTAAACACTAAATAATTCGTAATATGGATCAATTATAACAAATTTAGCGTAGAAGAAAAGGAAATTGAACACAGAATAGGCTGCGCCGGTGGTAGATTTGTCTTCACACCGCGAATTGCGACAAAGCCATAAAATTAACCTAGAAACTAGAGTGATGTTCTTAAATAGCCTCGACACTTTCCTATGGATGACATATACAGCGCCAAACCCATTTGGAAACATCTAAACTGTCAGTTGTATACAACCGCTTTTTCAGATCAATGGTTAAAATGGCTTTGAGCGAGTTTAGCTTGAGGAGCTTGGCAAATATCTTCGTTGAATATTGTGGACTAAATCACAAAGAACTGTAGAAAATAACAGAAAGCACATCAACTAAGGATTATCAACAGCAGCAACAAGTAAAATGGATCTCATACGTAACTCGAAGAGAAAATAATGACATAATCAAGATGTTGACATTCCACACTACTTCAAATAGAAGGTTAGAAAGGAAACCTCCGTCAATACAGGAAAGAGCGATAACAGCTACTGGGCTTGAGAAGAGAAAATAATGACATAATCAAGATGTTGACATTCCACACTACCTTAAATAAAAGGTTAGGAAGGAAACCCCCATCAATACTGGAAAGAGCAATAACAGCTTCTAGTTTTGAGAAACCTATTTTCCTGAATTTTAAGAGAAATATTTTATAAATTTCAACCGACAGCAGTACTGTCTACTCGGTCAATAAATGCCAAATGTTTCCTCATAGGGAAACGGCTAATATTACAGTTACAATTACCATCCGATCATATTATTCTGCACCTGTTGACGCAATACTGCAAGGGTTATAGGTGGTCCAACTGAAAATCTCATATTCAGTGAAAGACATATCTGAAAGCTGTTGTTAGGTATATTGATTATCAACAGCATCATGAGGATGGACATTATCCTACTGAAATTGCACATCGCCATCCTGTTAAAGAAATGGCACAGAATGAGTTAACCACTTTTCTATACATGATCGAAATGTTTAAGTTCTGGCACCCCAACACACCTTGGGTTTTGGTCTTTGTGTCATGGGATATTAAATATATATGTCTATGTCGCACATACAAGTCTACATCACT